AATCTTTGATTATATATTGATTATAATCTAAGAAAAAAAGCCTGATTTGTTAATAAGACGATTGCTTTTTCGAAAGATTATTAAAACTTTTGATATCAAGGATTATAAACTTATAGTATTAGGGAAACAAATAAAGCAATTGAAGTATCAATTAAAGGCAATTGTATTTAAGAAAAGGTATAAGGTTGTGATTAATCCAAATACTAGGTTTACAGGGATTAAAGTTATTAGAGAGATGCAAATCATAGCTGGGGATTATGGAATTATTGTAGAGAATAGTGATGATACAATTGAAAGTGATGGTATAGGCGATTTTATTTTAGTTGAATAGTTATTGAATTATATGGTTTGGGAGATAAAAAGTTTTTTTTATCGGGTGGCCAAAAAGGGTGGGTGGCCGAAAAGTGGGGTAGTTGACTTAAGGTAAGACTATATAGAATCCACTAGAGTCGCATATTAATCCTTTATCAACGACCAATCATGGCAAGGATCACTATATAACAACCTCATAATATGCCTATAAATTATTTCTTTGCGGCAGCGAACATGGCACTTCTTGTTTCCTTCCTCCAAAAAGATCTTGTACCTGATTGAGACATAAACATCCCGTCCGGGTGAAATAGGCTCGGGTTCGAGGCTGCAGAAAAAGATGATGCACATTGAACAGTATTATAATAAGTGTTTTGATTGACATGACATTTCATCCAGGGCAATTTACCATGAGTTATACTTAGAGAAAGAACTAGCCCCAAGAATCACCCAGGAAATTCACATAAGAAGTACAATATTTGCCCATATCCAACCTTTTATCTGAGGAAATTGGCTTGACTGCTTCGCATATTGGTTGGTGAAGTTTATTCTGTGATACAGTCAGCTTACTCTAACAAGGAAACTTCGCCACATTGCATTGCTAGGAACGATTTAAAGGCCTCGATTGATCGGCAATCAATTCACAAATTATTCCAAGGAATTGGCAATGAGGTAAATTATTATCCTAGCAAAGCGTAGCACTCTGGATGTTTTGAAGATTATAATAATGTTATGGTGAAGAAGAAGTCGGCTGTGGGTGATGATAAGATCTATTTAAGTTCTGAACAAACTTGAATCTTATATAATTGATACTATCATTTTTGTTATCTAATTGGTCAGTTCTGATTAAGTAAGAGTGTATTCTTGTCAAGGTAAGTGTTGTCATTTCTGTACTTAACCCCATGATCTGAAACTTCCCATTCATTCCCTTCAACTCAAATTTCTTACTGCTCATTGCGGTGTATGCGATGATCAATCGGTTAGTCCAAGGCATCCCCCTTTCAATTCGGATAACCTCACCGCCAGATAAAGTCTCAATTACTCAGTCTAGACAGCCAGTCGATGATTGGAATGGATCATGTAGATTATTGAGGTGAATATAAAATAAAAAGTCTAGTTTAGTTAGTCTAATATTAAAGTCCAGATTGGTGTCTGGATTCTGACAATTAATACACACCACTCGAATCTAATTGAATATATATCTAACTGTAGATAATCGTTTAAACACTATTCATACTTCTATACTCGAGTATACTTGCCGAAAACCCAGAAGAATAATTTTCCATCTTCAATATTCAATTATGTCTTGCACTAACACCGTGATATGATATCTTAATGTTTGACCATCTCACTCAAATAACTGATCCACTTTATTCCAATCCAATCCAATCCAATCCAGTCCAGTCCAATCAAATGCATTCAATTTAATTTCATAATATTTAACCAAACCCAAAACCCAAAATCCAAACACTTTTCCCCTCGTTACTATCTTATATATATTACCATATCCCCGATTGTCATCCCTCCCTCCTCCCTGATCTCCAAATCTACCCACCCACCTATCCTTACAACCTCCCGTTTTCCTTCTCCCTCTCCCCCAACAACCCCGCCCCAGCATCCTGCAATATACAATTTCCCTGTATTCTTAACCTTTATCTGAAAAAACATTCGATTCTCCCCTTCCTTCTATATCTCCATTACTAGTGTTTGATCTGGCCCCCTACGGGCACCTCAGGAGGGTAATTTACCCACCAGTGGGTTATTATCATGCTAAATCATATATTGAAATGAAATGTAATGAGATCTTGTATTGAGATCTGAATACATAATCTAAGCCTAATATGAATTAGTTCGAGATAGCTTCATTTTTTTCACCCTAAATCGATGATTTCAAATTCATTCATATCTACCGAAATCTTTCAATCAACTTTACAACTTTTCATTCAAGTCAACTTGAATGCTTTCAATATTCAGTAAGTTAGTTTGAATGGTTTCCAATCGTTTATATAAACGATTAAGGGTTAGCGATGACAAGGGTGCGACGACGAGGTTCAAAATAAGGTATGAAACTCAGGGAGGAAAGGGCTAGGAAGGCCAGGGAGGCCAGGGAGGCCAGGGAGGGGAGGGAGGGGAGGGAGGGGAGGGGGTGGCAATTGAGAGGCCCGGGAGAGGGTGATCAACGATATCGGAGGCCTTTTTTAGCTTCAAATCTCAATACAAGCGTTGAATCTCAATACACACGCTAAAAAGGACGCTTGCAAAAAATGGCCGATTTACCCTCTTGAGTAGGGATAGTACGTAGCTATTACATGTGATTTAGAATATAGCACAATAGACCATCTGGGAGAGCCTCGTTAATTAAGTAGTAATTAAGAGAAAGGCTCCGAAGTGGGACTAAGTGAAAACTAGACTTATGCTCTGAAGGAATAGTGTTAAAGAACCTGTAATCTCCTCTCGAGTCAATCTAGGCATCTGACTGTACTATTACCCCTCTTATAGTAAAATTGCTCTCGAGTATAAAGTTCAATCTCTAAGTCGGATAGAAGTGGAAAGGCAGTGATCTATTCAGGATTAATGCGTTTAGCTGCCAATTGAATCAATACCTACTAGGTAGCTCTGAACAATTTGTGCATTATCCACCTATAATTGTTGGTACACAAGTAAGTTCACGTGATATCGTACATACATATATCCAATATATAATAATAGAAAAGAAAAGGGGATGGGGACGATACAACAAGGGCCTATCTAGAGGTCAAGGTCGTGGGAACGGTCGTCCACAGGATAATACTCGAATAAATAAGGGTAGAGATCAGGCGAAGGATCAAGCACCAGAGGGTGCCTGCTATTTTTGTTATAAGAAAGGGTATATTGCTGTCAACTGTTTTAAGATGCAAAAGGCAAGCAAGGAATTGAGGCAGAACGAAGGCAAGAAGACTAATGGCATTTCATTTTTCCACCCGTCTCTCTGAGTCCCCAGCAAATCCCCGAATTTTTATTATAGAACCCGAGAAATGAAAAATATGAAGTAAAAATAAAGTCCCCAAACACCAAGATTGCTTAACGCTGTACATCCCTACCCACACCGCACATGAAAAGCAACAAAAGCTGTGCTGCCACAGGTTTAGACCCCTTAGAATTCGCTCGCACGTATACAGGCATCAGTACTACTAGTTCCTCTGGTAACCAATCACGGGAAAACAACCGGCGAAGCATATACTTGGTCGGGGTATTGAAAGCTTGGTTGTTGGACATTTTGATTTTGATAGCGTTGTTTCATTGCAGATGTATTTAACCGACATCCGATATGGTGCTGATGTAAGTCCCGACGTGTCGGGTGCGGAAAGTGTGTTTGTTGTTCGAGATGCACAGCCCGCCTTGCGATTGCATTTCCTATTCTTTACTTGAGAGGAAGATAGATTCTGGCTGATGACTGTGGAGCTAATAAGTTCAGTAAGTGATTGATGCACTTGGGGAGGATTCAGACAGATTAGATGGGTTATTCCATGGTCGTTGATCAAAGAAGCGAGTTCAAATTCAGGCTTGAAAATCATGCCGGCTTCTATAAGGCGAATAGGGTCATAGATGTACTCGAGTAGTTGGAAACGTGTTGGTTGGAGTCTTGGTGAAATATTCAGGGAGGCTCGTATTTGTCTCTGTATGGAAAGTAGAAGCGCAAATTTCCTCGTAGTGAGTGATATGAATTTGGTGGCCCTAAGGACCTTCCTGATTGGACCGAAATCGAATTTTGTGATCTGTATTAGTGACATGGCCCCATGAAAATAGTGAATGATGGAGATATTGAGAAGAAAAAATAAAGGAATTGATGAACTGGTTCTAGATCAATTTTGTATTTTTTTCAGAATCCTGGGGGCTCACAATAGATTTGGGGATGAGACGGCTATTTATTTTTATTGCTATATTAAATTCCAAATATTGTCCTAGTCCCTCGGGTCAACTTGCTTTGTTCTAGGGCATTAGGCAGATTTCTGCATTTGTGACCGGATCTACATGTGGACTGCTGGATTTGAGATTGAGGATCACTCCCTATTGCGAGCTTGGGACGTGAGCGTGTGAGATGGCAAATTAGTATACTGACACTATTAGTGATGGTACTTTTCAATTTGTGGTTTTAGCAAATTCAATTGCAATGTGGAGTGGAACAACAAGAGCTTAAAGACTGTTTGCAAATCTTTTGGGGAAAAGGATGTTACTTTGCTGCCAACTACTCGAAATCGCTGGAGTACTAGCTAGAAAGCATCGTTTGGTCCGCAACCAAGATTAGAGAAGTGGTCTACTGTTGAACTCATTGCATGAGCTTCGTGATTTATCTTGTTGCCAAAATATATCTTCATTTGATTCACTAATTCTGATTTTAACCATATGGTCAGTATCTTGTATTGAAGAAAGTCTGGATACAACCATTGAAGTTATTTCGTTGTCATGACTTGTACCCACTGACTGATTTCTTCCATTATGCACACAGATCCCTAAAGAAATTTCCAACTCAAAAATGCAACGAAGTAAACCATAATCAAACTGACCGACACAACAAACAAATACCAAAGTTTTCATCGTGGAAATGGATAGTTTAAAACTCCCAACTCCTTTCAAGATCACACCACTATCTGTGTCGTTTTCAAATTTTTCAGAAGTGTATGTGAGGGTGCATGAATCAACGAAAAATCCACTCAAGGTGAAGGGCGCGAGGAAAATTGAGGGCTTGATGTTGTAGAAGAGCCCTCGTAACCCTCATCCATGGACTCATCTTTGGATTCCCGTTCACCCACAGGGATTGCTCTTTCTCCTTTCTCATTTCTCAACTGTTGCACCCTCTGTGAAATCAAGATCTCTGCCATGGCTGTTAGCTACCTGGCGAAATATAAAATGTCAGAGTGGGAGATTGACAGCACGTACCTCGATCATGGTCACTCATCCCAGCGGCCAATCTTCCTGCATCAAACTTATGTTCCGACGACACCCATGAGTACGCCATCGCTCTCTGTGGATGTTTCTGTACAAGAGTGTACGGCAGAGCTTCCACCCTTCCAGCCGGTGTTGCTCTTCTTCGAACTTTGGCGGAAATCTTTCTAACCTTCCCGTTTTTGTCTAGCATCGGCCTTCCACTAGCATCGTACATTTTGAGATGATTAGATCTATAGTATCTCGATGAAAGACATTGCTCTGAGTCTCTTTGTCGTTGGATGAAATGCCGCCTGAATAAAGAGAGAATCTCGGGCCAGTGCTTGTTCAAGTCGTCTTTGTTGTATCGGATAAAATCAACCTCTTCCATGGAGTAAGCCTTATTGCTGCGAGGCTTTTTCCTATTGGAAGTGGAGACTGTCTGGGAGCGACGAGATCTATGAGGGTGATTATGATGCTGACGATGAGCTGGTGATGAGGAGTTATATATCCCATTGTGGGAGGGATATATTGGGGGCAGAGGGTAGTGGCTGGTGTGCCCGTGATGGACGTTTATAGGGTTGAAAGTCAACGGACGACGATGAATGGGGGCCAGGGGAAGTTGTGTTCTTCCAGAACCATAGCGAAGGGTATGATTTCGAGTTTCTAAGGCTTCTAGCTCGGCTTGATAGCGGACTAAAGTATTCTCGCTGGATATAGGTTCGGGTTGTTGTAAGTAATGCGAAGGCTCATGCTGAACCCGAGTTACGTTTTCCCAACCGGCCGAATTGTTGATAGAGTGATCCTCTGTTTCGAGTTCCACATTTGAAGGGTTTAAGATCATCAGTATGTCCATCCTTCGTCTCAAGGGATCCTCGGCATTGTTGACAACAGATGGAGTTTGCATGACAGATGAAAAGTTTCGAGGTGATAATTCCATATTCATCGTCATTCTGGAGACAGTATGTTCCGGAAAATTTTGGATGATCAGATGTCTGTATTTTGATATGGAGAAATAGTTTAATAAGGTAAAATCTCTGAATATAGACGAACGAAATCAATGTCCTGAGTGGATAATGAATCAAGAATCGACAGTCATGAAAAGGACACAGAACCTAATATACATCTTATAAGGAGAACCCCCAACACAACACCAACTAGATTTAAGTAGCATGGAAAGTAGGAATGCCAGATAGCTTTTTGCTGAGAGTACTATGTCGGCATCAAGGGGCGAGGCAACTTTGCTCCAACAAGGACATGCATTATATTTCTTGTGTACCGACTGGCTACCGAAGTCTTGTGCTTGATTTTTTCAGAAGCTCTCAATTTTTCATGTTGTTTTAGTTATGATTATGCTAAGCAATCTGAAATTCAACGGTAAACTGTTTTTGGCAGTATAGTATCGAGGTACCGTGGCTCTGGGTTTGTTCTTCACTGATACGGGGAAAGCATGAGAATTATTGGCTATCTGAGACTGATTTATATGTGGCGCTGAATTCATCCTTGCGAATATGTACTGCTTGCTACTCCAGGCATATTTTTCCATTGGTGGCCTTTATCTAAATATCTTGCAGTTGATGAGTCTTAGTAGTATCGTCTTCGCAAGTGTTAGACCATATATAACATAATATACGAGCATAATACTGAAGAAATTAATGAAAACCAGAACCAATGAAATCAGCTCAAATCTACAAAATACGGAGTACAAATCAAAAGACCAAGCGCACAGACAGCCCCTCTATTCATTGAAGAAACAATTTTGCCGCTACACTGTCTCCTGGTGTGTGAACCCCTTTAGCAAAAGTACGGCATCGTCGCTTCTCCTACCGCGCGGTCTAATTGGCGCATTATTTCTCTCGATATTTCGAATATATATTCTTGTCATAAGTCCCTTAATTCCCTCATTTTCTTCCTGGAATCTGTCTAATTGATTTAAGATTCTCACAAGAGACGGCAGAGAACACCCCTCCAACGCAGAGGACTATCATGTGATTGTCATCGACCCGATAACGTGGTAGCAAATCAAAATGCCGGTTCAAAGCCTAGTAACCAACATAAATGGAACGATACCATACAACAAACACCATGTACATCTACATATTAGGAAGCTCATTTGTACCCGACGGGTTGAGCCCACAAGAGGATCCTTACATACTGGGGGCAGAGTTAAGATGAGAAAACGGAAGTCTATTGCCAACGGGCTGAGCGAAGCAAATACGTGAAGCTACCCTACCAGCCATCCTTTTGTTTTATTCTTGGTTGTTGGATTTATTCGTTCGGTTTGGTATCCGTCTCATACAAATATTATGTTCTTATTATAACAGAGATCCTAGAAAATCCCCAGAGTTTGGTTTAAGCGCTGAAGGCTTTCTTGTGGGTCGCGTAACATAGTAGTGAACTAACGTTATGGATTTACCCGGGACAGGGCAGGGCAGTAAGACCGAAGATCATCCAACAAGATGAGGCTATATTGAAGGTGATATGACTTTAATTAATGACTTGTTAATAATGTTTGTGTTCAAAACAGCCGCGAAGATGTTAGCGAAGTTACACAACTACTAGTTAGAAGTACTCGATATATAGAAAACGCTAATAGAACCAGCCTTACTCAAAAGTAAAATTATAGCCCATAGGCACTGAACGGGGCAAAGCGTATGTAAGCAAAGTTAAAGGAGCCTTTTTGATCATTTATGCAAGGAAGGATCCAATTTCCTAATATTGCTAAATGCCGACACCGAGTATAATCATCTGGAACTTTCTGTTAATTCCTTTTTGATGCACTTAGGCTGGTTATACATCTAATATACGCAGTAGACCCAAATTGACTAGCGGTGTGGAGCTCATATAAACTCTATATGTCGGTAGATAGGTTTCTTTATCAGCAAGTAACCTTACAGAAAGCTCGTTGTAAGTACATAGATATGAGAGATAGAGTCTAATCTAATGGTGGATATAAGATTTGCAAAGATTAATTCTAAAACTTTATTGGCATTGAGAGTTTTGTGCACGGGCGACAGCAATACATGAAGAATGTGGGCCAAGGAATACGGGGGCAGTGGGGGGAAGAGGGGAAGAGACACAGGCGGAAGCTGGTCCAGACTTCTCACAGGGGGGATCTTCTGATCTTCTCCACTGATACTTCAATGTACACTACTCTGTACTGGTACTCGTAGATTGACGAATAGGGAACTACGCCGTTCGCTTCGCATCGAATGCAATGCACTTTCTTTTCTATTCCACTTAGTACATCTATAAAAGTACATGATTCAGTAAAGGAAGTTAAAGGTAAACAGGGGAGTCAACCAGAGAAAAAAGCCATAGAAGATCATGATCGAAGCCACACATTATAGATCTGCTACATCAATGTCTAATACAGATTTCGATCCATCGCTTTTCACTGTCGCAAAAATCATGAAATAAATCATTATACAGTTCTGATAACCAACTAATATATCAACCAGTACAGTACAATTGAAGTATCAACCAATATACCTGTGTACAGACAGGGGCTTCAATAGGGTTGTACTACCAATTGGTGTACTTGCTGCTGCTGACACAATGGTTTGCTATCGCAATTTCCTTTGGCACATAAAGAAACCTGCAAAATAAAGCAAGGAATATGTGATCTTTATTTTGTTCTTCCATTTTGCATTTCAGGTTTTCGATAGGTCAGATTCTCGTAATGAATTCCTCAATTCTCTTGGATATTTTCGTGGAATCCGATAACCGGCTTCGCGGGAGCTGATACTTCATGTCTAAGATCTTAGCACCCAGTAGGTGCATCTTAAACAGGAAAGTTTCCGATGCATGAAGTATGCAAATCGATCTCGATTCGAGATTTTCGTTGGCAAGAATCTTTCATATCTTCAATAATAGTTCCTATGTCCAAGATGTAAATGGCTTCTAGCCCTTGAAGCCTAATTTGTCAGGGATATCCGGCGATAGTGTGTAATATCAAGAAATGTTATAATCTTGTGAAAGTTTTAGCTTTCATGCGACTTTGACCTATCATAATTTTGGAGTGATCAGCCCGGCTGACAATGTACATTCTCCTTTTTCGGATACAAAAAACGAAATCACGTCCGATCCTACCGACCTATTCACGGGATGCCGAAAAGCCATCACAATCTTGCCTTCGAGCCGACTTTCATGTCAAGCGGTATACCGAGTTGAAAATTCAGTGGCTTGTATGGCTTTCCGTAGTAAGTGATTGGCTTTGGTTAGTGGTCAAACTCTTGCATACCGCTCATCTCATCGTTCCCTCACGTCGTCCGGCATGCGAGAGTCTGCTGTGGAATGCCATATGTAAAAGTTCTGGCCATTACTCATCGCACACCCCTTCGTTTCGTGACAAAATCCCTGCAAAAACCACATTTTTCTATATAAATATAACAATCGAATAACTTTTTCAATATTGAAAATTAGATTTTGAAACTGTCGGTACAGTCATCTACTGTACCGGAGCACCGGCACCGTACTAGCGAAGGGCTAGGGCAAGCCTTAGCGAAAGGACTTCAATACACATATAGTCTCCATTATATAGAATAGTAATCAATAAGCTTTTTATAGATATCAACACTGAACACCCGTCGGACTTTCTACCATCGTAGATCTGAAAGGTGTTCCCGTTGATACCAATAGAAACTTTTTTGTAAAATTAATTGAAATAATTTTAATAATTTTTTATAATGAAAAATAAGCACTGAAATTTTGAAAATTTGAAAAATCTGCGAATGTAACGTTTTTCTTATACAAAATAAGCGAATTTTTTGAAAATTTCATTTATATTAACTTTAAACAATAATACCTAAATAATAAAATTAGATAAAATTATTTGATTTATTTTTTTGATAATTTTAGATAATTAAATATTTAGTTATCAAGTTTGAAAGTTTTATATTATAATATTAGACTTTTATTATAAGGTTGAAAAGTTGAATAAATGATGGTTTTTGGTGCGAAATCGCTAGGTGTGCGATGAGTAATGGCCAGAACTCTTACAAAACCTGGCATGTAATGCAACATACGAGTCTAGACGTCTAGACACAACTTTCCGGATCATCATATCAAAATTATTCATCAAGGAGTAATGAGCGATCTGGCGAGGTGATATCCCATGTACCAGGTTGATGTGCCACTCCCGGCCTGAGATCTACCATGATTTCTTTACCCGGTTGCATATTTAGTATTTGCTTTTACTCGCCGTCGATTTGAAGAGATCCATGGGCTGGGTAAAGTGGCTTGCATGAATTGGCGCATGGTTGGCATGATTTTCCCCAACATTAAGTTGTCATATTCGAACATCTGAATAACGATAGCCCTTTTCCCATCAAGATGATTGATGGATTATGGGTCCTAGATAAGTTTAATATGGCCTGATGTTTTGCAGAGCTAGTATATCGTTGCGAGATAACTGCCTTCTGTGAGTTGACTTGTCATTTTCTTCAACGGAGATAATCGATTTTAAGTCTTCTATATGTAAGTATCCATGTCACCTATTTATGGCGGTGAAGAGGCTTCCGTCCTTATGATTCTTCTTTTCGCAGTGGCCTGCAGTATGAAAATTCTCGACAAACGATATGGTAGTTTTCTATCAGTCTCAAAAAGACAACGTACACCTTAGGGCCTCCGGATTTCGATACGCTACTACACAATGCTTCCAATAGCCACTATTTTTGTCAGGCATTATTAGTCTTACAAGAGGCTTGGACCCTCAAAGTTTGAAGTATCTTTCGAATCTGCATCACGATCGTTAGGTTCCCCGACGCAACATTTCCCTAACCCCCGGCCTAATTCGGCAAACTTGCTCCACGATGTCGACATATCATACAACGTGGCTGCGCAGAATTTTCAAACGGTTGCAATGGGAACTTGCTTATTAGTTATGCATGATGTGCTGTCTCACGTATACGATTTAATATGAGTTCTCCAGATGGTTTGGGAAAGATCGAC